ATAAACGCGATGCAAATAACAATCTTGCTATGAATGTACGATAATGCTATTATTTCTCGAACCACGTGTCTTAACGACATTATTCTCTTTAAAATATTTGAATTGGCCGAATGATTAATATCGCGCGTTACGCAAGGGTCTCTAGCCGTCGTCAGCCGATTTCAGGAAATGGTACGTAAAGTTAAAGTGTGCATGTAGCCAAACTCGGGTGTCGGGGGCGTCCCGGGACGCTTACTGTAGTGTAGGATCTTTGCGCCCGGGTGGTATGTGCGAGAAACGTGGAGTGTGGTGTGTTGGAATGCTTGATTTTTGCCATTTTTTAAATATAGGAGGAGTTAGGTAGGTAGTATACTCTGGTGTGCTTGCTAATTATAAGTAGGTAGGGCCGGGCAGGTTGGCACAGTCTCAGGTCGGGTAGGCGCGTTTCGCGTGCACAACCTGTTTCAGGAAATGTCATTTGAATAGTCGACGGTGAAGCTGGCACGTTTGGGGGTTGCCACTCGTCACTAGCTTTACCTATCGATTTTTTCAAATTTTCGTCGCGGTCGCGGTCGTGATCGAACGTGAATGTGCTCGAGTTTCTGCACGTGTGCACGAACAAGGATCACTCCGATCGTTGCTCGTCCATGTGAGTCTTGATTAGCTTCGCGGTTTGTTTTTTTTTTATTTTTTTTTCCGAATAGAGAATCTCGAGCCTAGATATAAGTTTCAGCGGGCATGGCGCCCGAAGAAAGAAGAAGAGGCTACTAGGTACCCGACAAACTGTCACCAAAAGGGTGCCTAGGAATGGCTTCCTATCCTTTGGATGAGAAGTCATTCTTGTCACTACTTTGTCACTATGCTCGTATTTAGTAGTCTGTAGAAGTAGTAGTAGTTTGTTAACTGGCCGATGTTCATCGGTCCATCATCCTGTTTGGGCAAATCGCGATTTTTGTGGTTAGTGTTGCGAGTAATTAATCACGGGTTGATTTAGTGTTGCGAATTACGAGATCGCGATTTTGTTTGATTTCTTTTTCATGAATTGTTTTTTTTCATTGATACTAATATTGATTAACGTTATAGCGTTGCGACTTGTGTTAATCGCGAATAGTCAAAAGAATCAAATATCATATTTTATTTTTTACTGGTTTCATTTTAAGCATTAGTGTTGCGTTTTACTTGTATCGCGGTTTTTCTGATTGCTTTTATAGTTAGTGTTGCGTTGAAGAATGATCGCGTTTTTTGAAGTAGTGTTGCGAATATGGAATGCCCAAAATTTCACCACTGATGTGGTGGAAATCTGTTCCTGTTCCTGAGAATCACCTGTTGCAACTACAAGGGTTGCATATAGGTGGTCATACATCAGTAGCCAGAACCATGGCTACCGTGGATTTTTCGACATTAGTGTTGCGAATTTTTTTGATGCGAGTGCATAAATTAGTATTTATTAGTGTTGCGTTAATAATTGAATTATCTTATTTTGATTATTTTCGCGAGTTCTCTGTTCTTTATCTTTTTTTTTTTTTTATATTTTTTTTTTATATCCTCTTTCTTGAAAATGGTAAATTAATTGTTATTTTAAGTATCATGAAGCACTCTTCGCGATTGATTTTGTAAATTGTCTGTTATCAGACAATTTAGTAAATTAGTGTTGCGAAATTATGATTTATTGATCCCACTCACGGTTTGCTACACGGGTTCATATTGAGTGGAAGTATTTGCTTTTGTGGCTGTCTTTGGCTACAACTGTATTTTTTCTTTCAGCACCCCTTTTCACTGTAATATTTGTTAATGAAAATACTGCTGTAATATGTATATGTTTGTTTTCCATCTATTTTTCCACCTATTTATCTTTTTTTTATTCCTTTTTAACTATTTTAGTTATTTCAGTTTTTTTTAAAATGATTTTCTCAATCTTTCATTTTAACCTTTTTGCAATTAATGTTAAATATTGTTAATCTTCAACTTTTGGTTTAGATGATAAAATATTCGTTTATTTTGCAAGGAATATCTTGGAAAATAATCGTTTTGCGTGTGTAATTCGACTCTTCGTGAATCTAATAAGAGTTATATTTTCCTTTTATCGTGTTCGGTCTAATTATTGATTTTTTAAAATAAAAATTCATGCATTAAGTTACATTAATGTGTGATTATTTCAATTGCAAGTTTTTGGCAAAATATTTTTGAGTATCATTAAAATTCCTTTAAATATGTGACATGTCTTCTTTCAGCAGCTAGTTTTGTTCTGTTTTTCAGATTATTAATTCAGTAATTAAGTTTGTTTCAGATGTATTATTTTACAACTGTTTCATATCACCGTGTTTAACGTCATTTCAAATATTTGAACTTATGTGAGTATGTTAGAGGCTCAGAAGAAAAATAACATTCATGGAAGGAAATGACGCAATGGAAAGTGATCTGTGAGCCTCATTTATTTATTTATTATCATTAGCGCAATTTTTATTTATAACCATATAGATTATTACTTCTAATAATTTTACTACTTTTTCTGCAGGGTCTTGTGTTTAGGAAGTGTTATGGTGCCAAAGGAAGCAGTGTGAGTGGTTTCAACCCACACAGAGTACCTCTTTAATATTCAGATTTTTCTGGTCAACTCTTTGGTTTCTTGTGTATATAGGATGTTTGAAATTCTCTTTGGATTTATAATAAGAAGGTTTTGTGAAAACCCTCTAGATTTGTGATTGGTAGAGGTTTTATCAAAACTTCATCTGATTTTTCATAGGATAGTGTGAAAAATATCCTTGATCTCCCTATCTTTGGAATTTTATAATACCTATAATTTCGATATAAGCAGGGCTGACTACTTTTGTTTTAGATTCTTTGGATTACTGGAGACTGGAAGTCACGTTTTATTTTTTTATATGAATCATTTTGGTTGTCTGAGATTGAATAGAAGGTGAATTCGATTTTCAAATAGATAGACTATTCGGAAATTAATGATAATTTATGGTTCTATGTTTTCATGTTCAAGTAGGATTATGATTAAGTTAGTTGTAAGTTACGATCGGTGCTAGCACATTAATCTATAAGTTAAGTAAAATTTTATAGTAGTAAGTAATACTATGTAATATTAAGTAGTATTGAGTAGTATTGGGTTGCATGAGGTTTTGCATGAAGTGGGTAGTATTAAGTAGAGTTGGGTAGTATTAAGTAAGTAGAATATACTTAATGCTTTGGATAGTATCTCATTTTTCTTTGCTTTCCTTTTACATATTTAATTGTCAAATAATCTTTATTTTCAGGCCAAGATGTATGTGAAATGTTGTTGTTTGAACGAAACATCATCTGCTTTCTTTTATCTTTCTCGTTATCGATTGGTATATTTTTGATGGAAATGAAACAGTGTAATATTGACAAATTGTGAGATAATATAATATCACATAATTTGTCTATTTCTTCTATGCTTAATTTGTCTTTTATTCCTAGGTTTAATTTATCTCTTATCTCTGAGTTCAATTTATATTTTATATCTGTATTTAATTTATATTTTATTTTTAGGTTTTATTTATCTTTTATTTCCAGGATTAATTTATCTATTATTTTCAGGTTTAGTCTTCCGTGTCGGTTTTTTGTTTAAATTCTTTTAATGCTTGATTTACACAACGATCAAAAATTGAACGTTTTGCAAACATGCATCAAAAGAGAAATTTATTTGCTTGTTAATTTTTGCATGAAAGGAAGGGAGGTTGGGACGAGGTTAGGGTCGATTACCGTACTAATATTTTAGAACGGTAATCGATATATATGTATTTTCATCACCGCTTAATAATACATTCACATCAAGAACATAGTATTATCTGAATCCAAAATATTGTTATTCATCGATCAAATATAGGTAAGTAATTATTCTTGTGGTACATTTTGTACTTTTCACATATACGATCCTTGACTGTGATAATATTTTGTAGGATACTCGGCTTTACTAAGAAATATGTTCATCAAACAGTTTTCGCCCTTCTACGGAATATTTTAGCCAGCAAAATGCAAGACATTGGGTAAAAAATAAATAAATAGTAAATAAATATGTCTTATTATATTTCAATAAGAAATCGAAATACTTTACATTTTATTGTATCTTGGTCGCGAATATTTTACAAGCCTTGTAAAATGGGCCTGTGAAAAATGATTTTTATTATTTCTACGAAAGAGTCGCAGTTGCAGCAACATTTAATTTTCAAACTCATGTTTGGAAATGATTGTTACGCAGCCCAATCATGCACTCCGATTGTGTAGACATCTTCAATTCAATTCAATTTTGCATAATAATTATAACTTCATTTCCTTCATTCTGGGTATCTCAAATGGGTATTCTATTTTCTATTTCTGTTATCAACAAAACGATTGACAATAAGTTAGAACTTCATAGATATAGCAGTACTTTTTTCAACATATGTTGAGCAGGGAGAATAACTCCACGCCATTCCTCATTCCCCATTAATGCATTTCTTTCAGGAATTTTCGTGGCCGTGCACGATGCCACCATTCGAGTCAGTGCTTTTTTACGTATCAAATTTTTTCTCAGAGCCCAATAGCTCTTGCCACATATAACCATAATAGCCATACGCGAATGTAGAGTCAGTGTTTGTTCGCCGATGGTAATTCAAACGGACGCGTTAGTAATCTTTTATTTTTCTTTTTTTTTTTAATGTTCGTTATCGGTATTAGAGTCGACACTACCCAGGAATGGACCCAAGGCTGCTCAGCAATCCAAGAACGTAAGTATGTAAGTATGTTCGCACATTGAAACTTAATTAACTTCCTCCTTAAAGAAAAAATTTTATTATTCAACGTTTCTTAAAATTTTTCCGTAGATCCGACAAGACTGATGGCATCGAAGTCAGTTCCTCAGTGGACAGGATTCATCTCTGCTCCAGAAGTCAACAATGTAAGTTCGTTTGCATATTGTTATTGAATATATTTCCAAATCAATCATACGAAATCAAACACCTCAAATATTTGCGTCTTGATGGTATAACAGTAGTATCGAACGCTTTGTTACAGATTTTCTACAGCCTTCATTTTCCCATGGATCCTACAACGGTGTTACTACTCAAGTCAGCCCCCTACAGATGACGGTCCTCACGATGACTTCGTCTGGGACATTGCAGCATCGTTCTCCGCATCATCGGTGAGTCGCATGCATTTTGGTTCCTCCGGTCATTCAATCATGTCGTAGGACGAAAGGTCCGAATCGACACGGATGACTGGTTGTATTACGTAGAAATTCTTACGAGCATAGTGACCTCGGGTATTTATTATACTCGAGAGTAGTGACAAAATTTCTTTTGTATTTTATTTATCAACTCAGGATAGGTTTTCTTGCACGTCGCGTTTTTGAATAATAATAACAGAAATATAAATTGTTAGTATTGGTATATTGGCACATATAACATTAGTGGCATAAATAATATAATATCGACTAATAGTTCCTTCTTACTATAGTCACTTTTAAAATGAAAACATATTTAGTACGGTTAGTTGTCAATAATAGACACGAATATTTAATTATTTTGTAGTGGAGAAGTCGAATGCCCTTCGACTTCGTTATTATGAAAATTATAATTAATATATTGGAACAATGATTATGTATTGCTATTCATTGTTCCTTTAATAAACAAGTGCCAATGCCATTCTTTGCCTTTCGATAATATTGAGATATTTAATTCTTTGACTCGTAGGCAATAAATCCGAGTCGAATTCAAAATATAATAGCATGACTGTTACATTCCGTTACTGTTAAAATACATTGAACATTAAGTGCAAGAAAACATTTCGCGACAGATAGATTTTGGAACCAAAGTAATAACCTTTGTACTTTTGTGCTTTCGAATATTATGTACTTTGGTGAAAGAATCATCTGAGGTTTTATTATATTTCCATTGTTATATAAATTAAAGTCAATTATATCATCACGTCGAGTCATAGTCTTCCATTTTTTTTGAAAAATAATTTTTTGTTGATTATGAACATTTTCTTTCAATACTGAAATATGAATAATTGGTTAAATTTGTAAAGTAAAGACATTGCAAATGGAACGAGAAAGTACAAGATGAAAGAACGTTAGTCCGTTAAATAAAATATATGTAAGGTAATCAGTTTTCTAGCTCAGGATTTTCAGGTTTAACCCCTTCCGTGTTCATTGCCAGGAACTCATTCACGTGCCCAGGTGCTACTTGATTGGGAGAATGGCGATGGGCACGATGACCGTAGTTCATAAGTTTATAACAATGTCTTAGCGGCTGACGACGCGTTAGAGTATCGTGCACGACGTATTTTCCACATGGTGTGTCTGTGATTAGGATGTGGAATTGCGTCGTTCGTACATTTATTCGGAATGGAAGAACATAATCTGCTATCAATTGCAGCAGATTATTCATAGATAAACGCGATGCAAATAACAATCTTGCTATGAATGTACGATAATGTTATTATTTCTCGAACAACGTGTCTTAACGACATTATTCTCTTTAAAATATTTGAATTGGCCGAATGATTAATATCGCGCGTTACGCAAGGGTCTCTAGCCGTCGTCAGCCGATTTCAGGAAATGGTACGTAAAGTTAAAGTGTGCATGTAGCCAAACTCGGGTGTCGGGGGCGTCCCGGGACGCTTACTGTAGTGTAGGATCTTTGCGCCCGGGTGGTATGTGCGAGAAACGTGGAGTGTGGTGTGTTGGAATGCTTGATTTTTGCCATTTTTTAAATATAGGAGGAGTTAGGTAGGTAGTATACTCTGGTGTGCTTGCTAATTATAAGTAGGTAGGGCCGGGCAGGTTGGCACAGTCTCAGGTCGGGTAGGCGCGTTTCGCGTGCACAACCTGTTTCAGGAAATGTCATTTGAATAGTCGACGGTGAAGCTGGCACGTTTGGGGGTTGCCATTCGTCACTAGCTTTACCTATCGATTTTTTCAAATTTTCGTCGCGGTCGCGGTCGTGATCGAACGTGAATGTGCTCGAGTTTCTGCACGTGTGCACGAACAAGGATCACTCCGATCGTTGCTCGTCCATGTGAGTCTTGATTAGCTTCGCGGTTTGTTTTTTTTTTATTTTTTTTTCCGAATAGAGAATCTCGAGCCTAGATATAAGTTTCAGCGGGCATGGCGCCCGAAGAAAGAAGAAGAGGCTACTAGGTACCCGACAAACTGTCACCAAAAGGGTGCCTAGGAATGGCTTCCTATCCTTTGGATGAGAAGTCATTCTTGTCACTACTTTGTCACTCTGCTCGTATTTAGTAGTCTGTAGAAGTAGTAGTAGTTCGTTTACTGGCCGATGTTCATCGGTCCATCATCCTGTTTGGGCAAATCGCGATTTTTGTGGTTAGTGTTGCGAGTAATTAATCACGGGTTGATTTAGTGTTGCGAATTACGAGATCGCGATTTTGTTTGATTTCTTTTTCATGAATTGTTTTTTTTCATTGATACTAATATTGATTAACGTAATAGCGTTGCGACTTGGGTTAATCGCGAATAGTCAAAACAATCAAATATCTTTTTCTGCATATACATATTTTATCTTGTACTGGTTTCATTTTAAGAATTAGTGTTGCGTTTTACTTGTATCGCGGTTTTTCTGATTGCTTCTATAGTTAGTGTTGCGTTGATGAATGATCGCGTTTTTTGAAGTAGTGTTGCGGATATGGAATGCCCAAAATTTCACCACTAATGCGGTGGAAATCTGTTCCT